CCTGCCTAGAATCCCCCAGTGAGGGTCTGGGGTGTGGCTCAGTGGTAGAGCCCCTGCCTAGAATCCCCCAGTGAGGGGCTGGGGTGTGGTTCAGTGGTAGAGTACCTGCCTAGAATCCCCCAGTGAGGGGCTGGGGTGTGGTTCAGTAGTAGAGCCCCTGCCTAGAATCCCCCAGTGGGGGGCTGGGGTGTGGTTCAGTAGTAGAGTACCTGCCTAGAATCCCCCAGTGAGGGGCTGGGGTGTGGTTCAGTGGTAGAGCCCCTGCCTAGAATCCCCCAGTGAGGGGCTGGAGTGTGGCTCAGTGGTAGAGCCCCTGCCTAGAATCCCCCAGTGAGGGGCTGCGGTGTGGCTCAGTGGTAGAGCCCCTGCCTAGAATCCCCCAGTGAGGGGCTGGGGCATGGTTCAGTAGTAGAGTACCTGCCTAACTTACAGGAGGGCGTGGGTTCCATCCTCAGTCAATGAGGTATAAATAAAAGATTAAATTTTCCTTGTTGCCAGATGGTAAAGATGCTTTCTCTGTTCTACCTTCTCCATTTTAAAGAGTCTTTCCTTGAGAAAATTTACAGTAGATTCATATTATCTCTTTGATACATCTCTCTCTCTCTCTCTTTTAATCACAGAAGTTTTCTGCCCTTGTTTCAAGCAAGAACTTCCTTTACTGAAAGACCTAAGAGCTCCTCTATGCAATGTAAACCTCAAGGCAAAGAACACCCTATCCCCTGTTGCCTGGGGAATTTCAGAAAGTCCAAGTCTATGTTAGACTCAAGAGCTGTACCCCTCCTGGCTGTAGTAGGTGACAGGTCACTACACCTGATGTCCACTTAGGGTCAATATCATGAGCAGACACAGTTACTGACTGCTGCTGCTGCTGGGGGCCATGCCTTACAACAGCTGCCAAGTGCCAGGGCCACTGGCAGGTTTAAGGCCAGGACATTAAGTGTTTAGTTTCTAAACCCTGATGCAATACACCCCTAGGTCAAGACTTGGAGCTGAAAGCCTCTAGGCCTGTTGGTCCAGCCAGTAGACCTTGGGCAATCAAGAGCCTGGGATGGCCCATACAGGTTGAATATCCCCTGTCTGAGCAGAGAAGAAGGATCTCAGGCTGCTGACTGGTAACCCTTGTTCTGTCTGTACAAACTGAAATCTTCTCTTAACACAAAAATTATATGAGCTTCAAGTGTCCTCGATGCAAGCAAGAATTCCTTTTCTGAAAGACCTGAGTCCCTTCTATGCAATGCAAACCTTGGGGCAAGACTGTTCCTATTTCCCTGTCACCTGGGGAGTTTAGCCCAGGCCCTCATTCAGAGATATAACTACTTGCTTGTCACAGGGATGGGGGAGCTTTTGCTTCATGAGATAAGAGCCAGCTCAGCTGGGCACCTCAATTACCAGGCGAGACAAGGACGGACCTGGGAGAAGGTGCAGCCAGCATTGCAGTGCAGTCCTTCAGAGGAAGAGGAGGGCTCACCCTCTCTCCTGAGACCATGTATGCCCTACAGCATCTGAGGGGATTAGTGATGCTTCTGCTCAGTAGTTTACCTAAGGTTGGCTCTTTAAGATGCTTGGTGCTCCTTCTGGGATGAAGCTTAATCTCTGCATCGGTGCAGAGAACTTTCTCTGTTGACAGACTTTGTTATTAATTTTGACGCCAGTCTTTATGAAGAATTAGGGCAAGAACACCGTTGCATTATTTCCATAAGAAGTCGATGGAATGTTCATTATATTGTACCATCTTTGAAAACTCATTGTCGCCTGGCCCCAAATGTCACCTTTCAGAGGTCACTTTACAGAGAGCTGTTTTCTTCTTTCTGTGTGTTCCTTCTGGTTCTGTTTTTAGAGTTTCAGTGCATTAGACGTGTGACCTAGAAACCTACAATTCGTGTTTTTGCTTCCTTCTTTCTAAAGCATAGCTGCTGGTTATTTCTTGTGCCTAGTGTTAGTATCCATCATTTCACCTAGTACTTCAGGGAAGTTTGGTTAATAAAGAATGACACACAATTTCCTTTCCTTCTAACAGAATCTTCCTTTAATCTTTCCTTTTCCAGGACGAGATTTGGGACTTAATCCAACAGGCCATTTCTACAGGCTCAAAGGGAATGAGGACAAACAAGAAGGTAAGAGCAAGCCTGTAAGCCGCCATTGCTCTCAGAGCACCGCCTCCAAACTGCTGGGAGGAGGTGGATTCTTGCGCGAGGATCCCTAGATGCAGTGGCGCGCGAAGACTTCTGGGACTTAGAGTTTCTGCGTAACTCCTGGGGAGAAAGAAGAGCCTTGGAACTCGGACTTCCGGAAAGGTGCTGCACATGCGCGTCGCGGTCTGTGCGCGTGCCCGTGCTTGTGCTGGGCCACTTCGCGGCCGTGACTTCCTTCTGGTCCGGTGGCGAGGCTACCTTCCCTCCCGCAGCTTTTGCGCTCGCTAAGCTGGCGTCGCCGACCCTGCGGGGCCGAGACCGTAGCTTCCGGGTAGGCAGCGAAGTGACTCGGCTGTGCTGGCCCGGGAGGCCTAGTGGGAGCTCTGCGCGGAGGCCGACGGTGGCGGCGGGGCCGCCTGCTCGGTGAGGCCCGAGGGCACAGATCGATCGGGGCTGCGGGAGGGATGCTCGACCCGGCTGGTGGCACTCCAGTTCACCCGGGCTCCCCGTTGTCCCCAGCATGCGGGACCCGAGAGGGTCGAGGTGGTCGGGCTGACAGCAGGACAGCTGCATTGCTTTGGGCTGCTTGGACGGCCCCGAGGACGGTGTGCAGGCACAGCGGCTGCGGATTCCCACGGTGTCACTCGGCGTCCATCAGCACCCTTGCTCTGTCTGTGGGTCCCCCCGAGTCTGCCCTTGAGGCATCATAATGGTCTAGTGCTGGAAGTCCGCCTTTGCTTCTGCTCGTGGAGGAAGGCTGAGCCTGCGACGGTGTATGACTTGATCAAGGTGTGTGACTTGATCAGGCTTGTGCACGGCTTTGCTGATATGAGTGCCATTGTTTTCCAGTTTCTTCCCTTAGCCCCTTTTAAAAAGTGCTGCAGTTACCAAGTTTAGTTGGAAAGTTTGAAAACAAACCACGCATTATTACTGTTTGTCGGACGTCTGCTCTTCTGGACCATTTTTCCTATTTGTGTTTTAATTTTTTTGAGACATGGACTCCGTGTGGCCCATATTGTTCTGGTAGTGGGTGATCCTCCTGTCTCAGCCTCAATAGAGTTAAGATTACATGTATATGTATCACCTCATGGAACATGGGTCCCAGATATATAGAGCCCAGAATCTTCATCCACTGTGACGTACAACAGTTTGAATAGGAAATAAAAGAAGTAACCTTTTTGTACCTTTACACCAAATGCCCCGATACAAAAGAAGCAATGTAGGGTTCGTCATAGAGCTGTACGCCCCCCTCCCTGCCCCCAATGCCACCTGTTGGAGTTAGGTTTGTGATTTCCTTCCTATCACCTCTTCAAAGTGTGTGTAGGCTGCAATTTCGTTTGCTGGTTCCAGGCAAGAGACATGTCCCTGTGTAGACCAGTTAATCTCCGATTTCAGTGAACTTTTCCTCCAACAGGTCAGTCATCAGCACTGTCGACGGTTTCCCAGGAGGCGCAGAAAATGAGCAGATCGAAGGTGAGTTTTTCCCGTTTGAATTTTTTTTTTTCCCTGACTCCTTTGCAATGTATTTTGAAAGACTTACACAAAGATCCGTTCCTGAGAATGGTAGTGGAACGGCAGTTTACCACCGTCTATAAAAGGATCTGATGACCTCTTCTGGCATGCAGGTATACATGCAGGAGAGCACTCATGCATAAAATAAATATTAAATAAATAGAGTGGTAGTGGAGGAGTCAAGAAAGGAGATTGTACTATAGAATACACCAGAGTGGCAGGCTGTGGTGGTCTGTTGTGTAGGCAGTCTGATAACTTCAGGTTAATGGAGTAACTTGGCAATGTTAGAAAAAAGAAAATTAGTATCGATTACATCACCTGCAGCTGCTCCTGGGAGATGCCAGTTTTGTTCCTTATGAGTATTAAAGACTTCCTAGGACTTGGAAATCTTTCTTTATTCAAGTTGATATGATTATGGATAGCGTTCCTAATAACAACATCTGAGTCCTGTGTTCTCCTTGCTGGGTCTAAGCAGAGGCCCAGCTGCCCAAGAACTTGTCGCATAACATTCTTTCAGAGACCAGAATGTCATGTGCCAATTCTTTTTTTTTTTATCATTTATTTATTTATTTATTTATTTATTTAGGTTTTTCGAGACAGGGTTTCTCTGTATAGCCCTGGATGTCATGGAACTCACTCTGTAGACCAGGCTGGCCTCGAACTCAGAAATCCACCTGCCTCTGCCTCCCAAGTGCTGGGATTAAAGGCGTGCGCCACCACCGCCCGGCGAGCCAATTCGATATATTTCCATCTTTACTTTTTAAATCCCTGGAGTAAAATGTAGATTGCATGTACTCTTTAGTTAGTAGTTGGATCAGCCTTTCAATAATGGCTCCTGCCGGGGGAAAGGGGGGGTTGCCCCGACTGTTCTTTCTTGGTTCTGTCTTGAAGGGAAGAGTGTCGGTAGGGGGGTAGATCTTAAAGGTTGCTGTTTGATAATAAAAGGTTTACCTATCTTAAATCTTAGTCCTTTGCTGACATAGCTGGCCTGCCTTTTGAGTTCCTCTTGGGTCAGAAACTGCAGTCTCTGTCATTTAGCACCTGATTGTAAAACAGCAGGGATTAAGAAAAGGCTAGATTGTTAGAGCCTTTGCCCTCCTGTCCACATGTCTCTTGCTTGTCAGGCTAGGGGGATACTTGGAAGAATAAACTTCTATTGAACCAGGAGAAGAGACTCATGCTCACAGAAGGAAAAACTTCTACACAAGCAAATATGGATTAAACTCACATGAGTTCATACACAGATTCATGCACACATATTCATAAATCTCCATTCGAACCAGTTTGGCCCAGCTTACATGCTGTCTCATAATTACATACTTATACATACACATCCATCCATACACATACACATCCATCCATCCATGCATCATCCATACATACATATACACATACATACATACATACATACATACATGCATACATACATACGAGACCAGTGCAGAAATAACTCACGCATTCTGGATGAAGAATGAGCTCCAATCTTTATTGCACAGAGAAAGAAAAAGCTTCTACTATTTTACTGCTAAATGAATTAAACCCAAGTCTGTAAGAAGAAACCTTTTTCTCTTTAGTAAGACTAAGCCTGCCTTGCTATTAAGAAGCAACCTGTTCTGTCCCATGGTGAGGAGTATGCCTGCCTGCTCCTCCTGCTCTCTCTGCAGCTTCTCTTTACCTCCTTCCCTCTGCATTCTCTATATTGCTCTCTTAATATTTTAAGTTGCCTTAATAATTTCTAAGTTATTTGACTCTGCGTTCTCCTTCTAATTTTGTTCCTTCTAATTTTGCTGTCTCCTCCTGCTCTGATGTGTCAGTGCTCTGCTCCCAGTGCCTTACTCCCAAAGCTTTCTCTCCAGTGTTATATATTCCCAGTGTGATCTTTCCCAGTCTTTTGTACCTTTTTTAGGAGAATAGATCATGTGCTTTTTTTCAGGTGTCCTTTAAAAAAAAAAAAGTTCGGGGCTGGTGAGATGGCTCAGTGGTTAAGAGCACTGACTGCTCTTCCAGAGGTCATGAGTTCAAATCCCAGCAACCACATGGTGGCTCACAACCATCTGCAATGAGATCTGATGCCCTCTTGTGGGGTGTCTGAAGACAGCTACAGTGTACTTATAATAAATAAAAAAAAAAAAAAAAAAAAGTTCACGGAAGTTCAAACATAAATTCAAATCTTAAATTGAATAGGAAGTTTATGTTAGAGAATGTTTACCTGCATCTTCGTTAAGAGTAATTATCTGGCTAAGCATTAATCACCTATCGTCAGTTCTACAGGTTCATGAAGAGTTAAAGTCCATAACTAAGCTATCATTGAAGTTTTGTATAGATAAATCCAGTCAATAATCTATCTTCTGCCCTTGTGCCTATAGTATATCCTCAGTTCCCTTTTTATGACCTTTGGCTAACAGTTTTACAACCCCTTGGAATGTGCTCTAAGTTGTAGATTGTTTGCTTGCTATCTCAGAAGCAATTAACTCTGACACTTGACGACTGGCAGAGTTCTCCATTCAGTTTTGGCATCAGAGAGGACTTAATAGTCCTATTATAAAAGAGCTTAATAATTACTAATATAATTTTAAGAATTCTGATAGGATCATCATTAAGACTTAAGAAATCATCTATTTGTCTATATAGCATCACTATAAGACAGTACATCTTTGTTGTTCAGAAATCTGCTCAAAAGGGTGGGTAATACCTAGTGATCGTTGTATATATTCAATAATAATAGGAAAAGCATATTAATAGCAGGAATCTTTCCTAAAATGAATTTCTCCTCGGTCTTGCCTAAAGGAGCAAATCCATCGTAGATTTTAATCCATGGTAGAACCATCGCAGGACAATCACCTACCTGCTAGCTTTTAGCTTCTCCTAGGTGAATCCTGGCAGGTTCCCCTGCTATGCTTCCTTTGGTTTTAATTTCTTTCTGCTTTTTTCTTTTAGAAACTGGGCTGTTTATTTGTTGTCTCAGTATTTGGCATTTGTCCCCATTGTCCTCCCTTTAGATTCCTTGCCTTATGAAATTGGTGGTTCTTACAGAAAGGTTAATGAGATCGTGCCCGTTCATTTCTGTGGTTGTTTTTTGAGATAGGACCTCATGTAGGTTAGGCTGGCCTCCAGAATGCTGTAGCCTGAGAATGACCTGGATTCTGATGAACTCCTGATCCTCCTGCCTCTGCGTCTTCAGTACTGGGATCCCAGGTGTGCACCACCGTACCTGGCTTATCCATTCTTTTGGTTACTTTTATGTCTGCGTATTGAAAATTTACCTGACAAAAGCAACTTTTTTTTTTTATTCTGGCTCACAGTTCCAGAGCACAGTCCATCATGGGGGAAAAGCAGCAGAAGCTTCACTTAAGGAAGCTGAAGTCAGGAATAAAAGAGGAAGCATGCCCACATGGCTCTCTTTGTGTCAGCAGTCCAGGGTCGCAGCCAGGGAATGGGGCCACCCACAGTGATAGGATTTTCCCACCTCAATTAATGTAATCAAGACAGTCCCAATGGGCCCATCTCCCAGGTGACTGTAGAATCTATCAGATTGACAACACCTGCTTCACGATAGTTGCACATGTTATGTCACTGTGTTTGTCATTGTGAGGTTATCATCTGTGACGTGACAGCTATCATCGTCACTTAGGGAAGGTGGAATGGTGGCCCACTCTTAGTACCATCTCTGTTATGTCACTGTGTTTGTCATTGTGAGGTTATCATCTGTGACGTGACAGCTATCGTCATTACTTAGGGAAGGTGGAATGGTGGCCCACTCTTAGTACCATCTCTACTTCCTGTATAAGCTAGGGTATTTTTGTGAAAGTAAACTCCTCACTTTGGGCACATAACAGACTATATAGCACCAGATATGATAAAAATTATGTCACAGTGACAGAGTGGTCACTTAATCTAGAGGACATTTTAAGTACTTGGCGGATCTTGTTGGGTATTTTTTTGGCAGATCCAACTGGAAGAGTCTTATCCATGGAATCACAGAGTCAAAGCCATGGAAAGGATTATGGAGTCATACATAGAATTCTAAAGCCTCATATGTAGAAACACAGAGTCTCACATATGGAATCGTAGAGTCATAATCTCATAGATAGAATCATAGTCACATACAGAGACTCATGGAGTATCACATATAGAATCATAATCTTGTACATAAGTCATAGAGTTTCACAATTATAATCAGAGTCACACATAGAATCCTAGAATCTGGACTCTGTGGGCACTAGGCATGCATATGCTGCACAGATATACATCCAGGCAAAACACCCATTCATATGACAGAAATTAAGTTCTCTTTCATGTATCAGTTTAGTTTTTTCATGTTGAGTTGTTTGTCTTTGTTTATAGTGTATTTTAGCTGATGATTCTTAATGTTCTGTTTATGTTTATGGGAGAATTTTTCTTCTTTGGGGTGCTGGAGATAGAATTTAGTGTCTCCACTCTAGGCAAGGACAGCTAATTCAGATATACTCCAGTTGTGCCTGGGTGACTCACCTCTACCTTACAGAGGGGACAAATGCAGAAGCTGGAGCTACCGAACGGCTTCCCTGCTGCTGTGACACAGGCTAGAGAGATGGCTTAACAGTTAATACTTGCTGCTTTTCCAGAGGATATAGGGTTGACCCCAGCACCCACATGGTGACTGACAGCCACCTGTAACCCCAGTTACAGGCAGTCTGGCACTGTCTTCTGGACAAGGGAACTGTGTACGTGTGCACATACATACATATGTATGTACAGTACATATATCCATACTACATGGAAAACACTCATACAATAGTGGTGTTTTAAAAAAATACTCTAATGGCCAAGTATGGTCATACCTTAATACCTTTAATCTCAGCATTTAGAGTCAGAATGAGGCAGATTTCTGTGAGTTCAAAGCCAGCCTGGTCTACAAAATGAGTTCCAGAGCAGCTAAGGCTGTTACACAGAGAAGCTCTGTCTTGAAAAACAGATAAACAAACAATAGTAACAATAAGAACCCTTTGATGAAAGCAGTTTGAGAGAGAGAGGTTTGTTTTAGCTCACACTTCCAAGTCCATTCCAGAGAGAAGCCAGCAGCGGGGAGTCCTGTGGTTTACTCAGTGGGGTAACCAGTAGCTCCTTGGTAGCCATGAGCCCCGTGAGGGAACTCTGCAAGGACTCTGCTGGAGAGGCTGCTTGTTTGGCTGCAGACCAGTAGCCTCTGTATAAAGTTATATGACTCAAGGCTGTGGTTTCTCTTCTCCACAACTCTTAGAGCTCTGTACCTAAAAGGTACCACTGAGAAATTCCTATGGCTGGGACTTGCCTTCCACTGCTCTTAGAAGAATGGAATGTAGTTTTCTGTTTCTTTTTTTTTTTTTTAAATATGTCTTTATTATTTTTGTGTTGATATTTGTGTGGCTTTGTGAGTTTATGTGCACCATGTGCATGTAGGAACTCACAGAGGCCAGAAGAGGGCACCAGAGCTCTACAACTGGAGTTACCAGGCAGTTGTGAGCTGCCAATCATGGGTGTCAGGGACTGAACTCAGGTCCTCTGCAAGAGCAATAAGCACTCTAACAACTGAGCCATCACGCCAGCCCCTGGACTTTGGTTTTTGAATTGGGAAGATAATCACATGTGGCTAGTTTACTCCTAATTTAAATAAAAGACATTTTATTTAAATTAGGTTGTATTATAGCCACAGTGAAGAGCAAAGAGCACTGAATTAATGAGTGAGTGCTTGGTAGCACTCAGCTTGCCTTCTCTACTCTTATATAATACAGGATCTCTGTCCAGGGAATGTTGCCACTCACAGGGGGCAGGTCTTCCCACTTCATTTAACATAAGAAACATAAACTTTCCTTCTGTAATATAAAGTAAGGTATACAGTGTTCAAGGTTAACTGTACCAGTAGCTTGAGAAAAGCTTGTCCCCCTGTGTGTTTTATATATGTCCTGATTCTGATCGTGTCATTGTAGGGCCCACTGTCATTCAAGGATGTGGCTGTGGCCTTCTCCCAGGAGGAGTGGCAGCAGCTGGACTCTGAGGAGAGGACAACATACAGGGATGTGATGCTGGAGACCTACAGCAACCTCGTCTCCGTGGGTGAGGAGCACTCGCTTTCTAAGCACTGCGAATGTAATGATTTGCCTTTGAGTTTGAAGGAACGCGTGCTAAGACCCTCAGTCCTTTGGGTAGAGATTGGGTGTATCTTTACTGCTCTGCTGAAAGGGCCTATGTGGTTTCCCCTTGTGGTACTGGAGATTGAGCCCAGAGCCTCCTGCATGTTAGGTGTGTGAGCTACAGCCCGAGACACAAAAGGCTCTGCTTCTCCTTGGTAAACACCGGCAAAGTGTTCTGTAACTTGTGGTACAGCTTCCCGTACCACAGCGGTTCTGCAGCCAGTCAGTCCAAACCCTTCTCCTTTGCCCGTTCACAGGGTATGACGTTACCAAGCCAAACGTGATTATTAAGTTGGAGCAGGGAGAAGAACCCTGGACAGCGGAAGGTGACCGACATGCTCAGAGGCATTTGGGTAAGTGACTAGAGTGAAATTTTAATAGTGCCCCTTTTTAAACTAATTAATTTTGTAGGGGAATCTTCTGAAACCTGATGCTTTATAGCAAAAGAAATCCAGAAACATGGAGATTTGTTTGTATTCAGAATTAAGAAAAAAATTAAGGAAAAAGCTATGAGGGAAGAAGACAGCAGGTTGGGGAATGTAAGTCAGGACATGGGAAGGAGGTTAAAGGCAGAGCGTAGTGAGCATTCGCTTTCTGCCACAAACGTCTAAGCCCTGCCTGCAGGACTCTGAGTGGGAGGAGCATGAAACTTTCAGAATGTTTTTACTAATGTGCGGGGTAGAAAGGCAAAGATTTCACTGAATGTGGTGGCTCAGGTATGTAGTCCCAAAACTCAGATAAGGCAGGCAAACTGCTGAAAGTGTAAGGCCAGCCTGGGCTAAATAAAAAGACACTGTTTCAAATAAAAACAAGCTAGGCAGTGGTGGCGCACGCCTTTATTCCAGCACTTGAGAGGCAGAGGCAGGCGGATTTCTGTGTTCGAGGCTGGCCTGGTCTACAGAGTGAGTTCCAGGACAGCCAGGGCTATACAGAGAAATCCTGTCTCAAAAAAACAAAAACCAAAAAATCAAATAAAAACAAAAGCAAAGATTTCAGAAGTGTCTAAGGTGTCATCTCCCATGAGGCGTAGACCCACTGATGTACATGTTAATCTCCCATGAGCTGTAGACCCATTGATGTAAATGCAGAATTGTCTAGGATGCCAGTCTTCTTGTGTGGTGATGTATTGTCATTTGATAGAAATGGCAATTTGCGTCTCCCAAACATAGACCATATTAAAACATTTCTTTTTAATATGCCCAATGACTTTCCCCTGCTTCCCTTTGTTTCTAGTCCTCCCACTGTGAGTCCTCCCGCTGTGAGTCCGCCCATGTGTTATCTGTGTCTAGAGCCCCTCCAGTAACTGTGCTCTCTGCTTATCATTTCTTAGATCAAAGTTGTAAAGGTACTATTTGTAATGTTAGGTGCTTGTTTCCATTATAAATTGATTCTCTTCCCATTCCTTACCCACCCGCACACATACATACATACAGATTACAGATTAAGATTATAAATCAAAGGAAAAGGAGACCTATATATTCATAATAACTCTTACTCACAGATTGTCCACAAACCTGACAGTTAGGTGTCACCCTCTTCTGTAGCTTGTATACTGGTGTTGACAGAATTTGTTCAATCTCACTCCTTTTCAGAAGTCAGTAACGTGTATGACCCCAGAGAAGGAGTCCAGGAAAATGGCGAGAAACATCTGCAGTGTGGTGATGCTGTCCGCCACTGGAGAGCAGAGAAGGGGCCTGCGTTTGATGAAGCCTGCACCCTGGAAGCTCCCCTCATTTCCCCCAGCTCAGGCGCTCCCAGCTGTGTCTCCTGCGGGGAGACTCTGGAGTCTGTTTCAGAACTGATTAGTAGCGATGGAAGCTACGCAGTGGAGAATCCCAGCATGTGTTCTGAGTGTGGGAAAGCGTACGGAGAAAACCCTGATGACTTTAACCAAAGTGAGGGTAATTCCTCTCAACACAATGAACGTATTTTGCAGAAAATCACCATTTTGGAGAAACCCTTTGATTATGAGTGTATGGAATCCTTAGACAGTGAAAGTGTTTTCTTGGCTCATGAGAGAGCTTATATGGGGGAGAAGCCCTATGAATGGAATGATTCTGGACCAGACTTGATCCAGATGTCAGACTTCAGTACATATCCGAGATCACAAATGGAACTGAAGCCCTTCGAGTGTACGCAGTGTGGGAAGTCCTTCTGTAAGAAGTCCAAATTCATCATCCATCAGAGGGCTCACACGGGAGAGAAACCGTATGCTTGTAGTGTCTGTGGGAAGTCCTTCAGTCAGAAGGGAACCCTTACTGTACATCGGCGATCACACTTAGAGGAGAAGCCCTATAAGTGTAGTGAGTGTGGGAAGACCTTCTGTCAGAAGTTACACCTCACACAGCACCAGAGAACTCATTCAGGAGAGAAGCCCTATGAATGCAGCGAGTGCGGGAAGACCTTCTGCCAGAAGACACACCTCACTCTCCACCAGAGGAATCATTCAGGGGAGAGGCCCTATCCTTGTAATGAATGCGGGAAATCCTTTTCCCGGAAGTCTGCCCTCAATGACCATCAGAGAACACACACAGGAGAGAAGCTTTATAAGTGTAATGAGTGTGGTAAATCCTACTACCGGAAGTCCACCCTCATTACACACCAGAGAACGCACACAGGAGAGAAGCCCTATCAGTGTAGTGAGTGTGGGAAATTCTTCTCTCGGGTGTCGTATCTCACCATACACTATAGGAGCCATTTAGAAGAGAAGCCTTACGAGTGTACAGAATGTGGGAAAACCTTCAATCTAAACTCCGCTTTCATCAGGCACCGGAAGGTCCATGCAGAGGAGAGAGTCCAGGCATGCGGTGAGTGTGGGAAGCCATCCCCACTGCAGTGTCTCCCCGATCACACAGACGACCTTGGAGACAAGCGCTATGAATGTAATGAGTGTGGGAAGACCTTCCTTGAAAACTCGGCCTTCAATAGGCACCAGTCCGTTCCCGAAGGGGAGAGAGCGTACGAGTGTAACATATGCGGGAAGTCCTTCTCTGATTTGTCCTGCTACACCGTGCACTACAGAGCTCATTCCGAAGAGAAACCCTTCGGGTGCAGCGAGTGTGGGAAAACCTTCTCTCATAACTCATCCCTCTTTAGACATCAAAGAGTACACACAGGCGAGAAGCCGTACGAGTGTTACGAGTGTGGAAAGTTCTTCTCTCAGAAGTCATACCTCACTATTCATCACCGCATCCATTCAGGAGAGAAGCCCTACGAATGTAGCAAGTGTGGGAAAGTGTTCTCCCGGATGTCAAACCTCACCGTGCACTATCGAAGCCATTCAGGAGAGAAGCCGTATGAATGCAACGAGTGCGGGAAAGTCTTTTCTCAGAAGTCGTACCTCACTGTTCATTACCGGACTCATTCAGGAGAGAAACCTTATGAATGTAACGAATGTGGGAAAAAATTCCACCACAGATCAGCCTTCAATAGCCATCAGAGAATTCATAAAAGAGGGACTATAAATGTACTCAGTGTGGAAAATCTCTGACATCTCAATTAAAAAAAAAAAGAAACATTTGGTTATAGTGAACATTGGAAGTCTAACAGGTAGTCAAGGGTGGATTTTCCCCGGATTTTACTATTGTGGTGCTGGGAGTTGAGGGCGGGCCTTTTGCGTGCTGTAGACGTTGCACACTGAGCTGAGCCGCAGCCGTTCACAGTTGGGCATCCTCGCCCTTTAGTGAATTTAGTGGATTTCTGAGCAAAATCCATTTTAACATGAGTTCTCAGAGAGGAATCTAAAGATTCAGCAAGAAGCAAACCATGACCATATAATTTATGGGACACTGGGTAATTTTTACAGGAGTGAAACTCTGAAAGTATTTAATATTTATTTTTTATTTAAGTCATATTTACATATCAGGGAGTTTTGCTGAGAACTGTCAGCTGGTGAGTGCAACTCACCTTGCAAACGCACGCTAAAAGCCATATTTCTGACGTTACAACAGGTGTTTATAGAAAAGATGCAAGAAGCTACGAGTTCTAAATAAACTTAGAAAATGAAATTATAAAGCCAGCAGGTGACCACGAGGGTGACTGCAAATGCGGCACTTGTGCTGTTCTGGAAATGCAGTTGAACAGTGACTCTATGCAACGTTTTGCAATTTCGGCTTTGAGTAATTTGTGAGAATTTGGTATCAAGGACTAAAATGACTGTTACAATGAGTATACAAGTGGAACATGCTGTATGACAGGGAAGTACATAGCTTTCTATGGCAGCGCTTACCAGTAGAGTGGGTTTTGTAAAAATTTTCCAACTGGAATTGGGCAAAAATTTTTAAAATACTATTTTGATAAACTATGCTGTCTTAGTGTTCTGTTGCTGTGGGGAGGCACTACAGCCATGGAAATTCTTGGAAAGGTAAACATTTCATTGGGGCTGCTCTGAACTCTAGTAATGGCGGGAAGCATCATGGCAGCATGCAGGCAGACGTGATGCTCAGAGGATGCTGAGGACGCCACAGCTGGAGCCACGGGCAGCAGGGAGAGAGACGGCCTGACTTGAGCATCTGAAACGCCAAAGCCTAACCCCCACCCCCAGTGACACACTTCCTCTAGCAAGGCCACACCTATTCCAACAAGGTCACACCAGTGCCACGTCCTAATGACCCAAGATCCAAATATATGAGCCTGTGAGGGCCATTCCTGTCCAAACCACAAATGCTCACATCGTTGGCTTGTTCGTGTCCGTTCCACTAGAAGAGTATATGTGCTATATGCTGTCATCTCCGTTTCTTGCCTCCTATTTCCAGGGCTTTAGAACACAGTGTTCTTCTATCAGACATGTTCTGGTTGGTACTTTTTGGCATAATCCTTTGCTAAAAGAGTTTGGCTACCTACCATTTCTCCCTGTGAGAATCCTGAGCAAGCAGTTTAAATCAATACTCACGGTTCTCTTCTGATTGGCAGTTCAGTAGCCTCTCATTGCCCACAGTAGATATGGCCCAAGACCTCCTAGTCAATACTTGAAGCGATATAGTCCCAAACCATAAGTACTATGGTTCTGCCACACTTTAATGTGGTCGCTGAGACAGATGCTTAGCGGTGGGGAAGTCATGAATACAACGTGGAATCCCTGGAAAGAAGGATGATTGACACTCCAGTGAGATTTCTTCAGCACTCCATAAATGATGTCGACTTAGACCTCAGGAATTGAGGGCTGAGGATAGTTTCTGTAGGAAGGCCCTTGCCTAGGTGGCGTGAGGCCGTGTTTGATTTCCAATACTCCTCTCCCACAAATATTGTTACTCTGCATCCACTTAGTATGTTTGCACTGTGATTGGCAGCCTATCCCACGGATAACCAACACTACAGACGGTCAGGCTTGAGGTTAGGGGGAGACCCTACCATACCTTGATTATAGGGGATATAGGACCTGAACCTACACGAACCAGATGGAGATGCTTGTTCTGTAAATAGTGGTCAACCAGACCCACCATACTCCAAGAATACAGAAATAGTTTAATATTTCAAAAGCTCACAGTCACATGAAGAAAACTCATGTGAAAAAAAATCATCTTAGCAAAGAATGGAGAAGACCCCCCCCCCCAACTTAGACAAAGGATCTAACTAGGTATACTAGAGATACCATCCAGAACAGTGCAATATTGACAATAAAACAGGGCCTACCTACCATCAGAGATCTTATCCAGCGCTGTATAGGAAGGCCTGGCCAGGTAAATGAGGAGGGAAAGAAAAGTAACAATCAGTGAAGGAGTGCGACTTCTCTCTGGCATGACCTTCGCATAGCACAGTCCAGCAGATATTCAGATATTAGAGTTATCTAATGTAACGGGCAGTGGTGGCGCACGCCTTTAATCCCAGCACTTGGGAGGCAGAGGCAGGCAGATTTCTGAGTTCGAGGCCAGCCTGGTCTACAGAGTGAGTTCCAGGACAGCCAGGGCTGCACAGAGAAACCCTGTCTTGAAAAACCAAAAAAAAAAAAAAAAAAAAAATTATGTGTAGAAAAAAAAAAAGTGGCCACAGAGTAGAGCCTCTTGTGGTTTTCAAGAGAAGCTCCAAGGGATGTCCGTCTCCCCTGTAAGCCTACATGTCGTGGACTTCGAAACCTAGTTATTTCATAGATAGGAACGTGCTGAATCTAAGACAGAGCCAACAGTTTAATAATTACCAAAGCTAACTTGTAAAATAGAAGTGCTTGAGTGTAGAGGCTGGAGAGAGATGGCTCAGCAGTTACAAGTGTGTATGTTCTGGCAGAAGACCTGAGCTTGGCGCCTAGCACCCATGTGGGGCAGCTCACAACCACCTGTAGCTTCAACTCCAGGGCATGCAACATCCTCTCTTCTATAGGCGAGTGCAGTCGTGTACACATACACACGTTGAATGTGGCGACTCCAGGCCTGCAAGCCCAGCACAGAGGAGGCAGAAGTGTTGTGACTTCAGACTTGGGTGACAAGAGCGTGTATAGTGAGACCCTGAATCAAAACAGAATAAAACCATTGCTACTCACAAGGGTTGCAATGTGGTAAAGCCGTAGATACTATGGCATAACAGTAAATTGACCATGAGAACAGAACATTATTCAGGTCCTGGAAACATGGGTCATCTGTCCCAACGAGTGACACTTAAGAGGCAAAGATGTTACCTCTGTTTGACATTTTGTCAATTGTGTGTATAGTGAAAAGTAAAAACAAATTAGGCAGTTTGTTTATGAAGTGTAAAGTAACATAATAGGAGGGGCATACACAGTGATCATTCCTAGTGAGCCCAGCACTGGCCGGCAGAGGCAGGTGGAGGTCAGCTTGATCCACCAAGCAAGTCCCAGGGCAGTCAGGACTGTGTAGTGAGACCTTGCCTCAAAAAATTTAGGAGGTTTTGTACCTTTAGTGCAGTCAATGTTCTAAGCAAGGTTGAGAAGGCTTTAAAGCATAAAGTTTTAATTGGATTATACTGAATCGAATTTAGCAAGACACTATTAAGAAAGCAAAGGATTGCCTGGTGGTGGTGGTGCATGCCTTTAATCCCAGCACTTGGGAGACAGAGGCAGGCAGATTTCTGAGTTCGAGGCCAACCTGGTCTACAGAGTGAGTTCCAGGACAGCCAGGGCTACATAGAGAAACCCTGTCTCAAAAAAAAAAAAAAAAAGAAAAAGAAAGAAAGACAGAAAGAAAGACAGAAAGAAAGACAGAAAGAAAGAAAGACAGAAAGAAAGAAAGAAAATAAAGAAAGAAAGGAAGGAAGGAAGAAAGGAAGAAAGGTAGAAAGAAAGCTGAGAGTTGGTAACAGAGTGATTGATCATTCCTGAAGGGCACTTAATGCTCTCGAGGGGACCTGGGCATCTCTTAACCACCTGTAACTCCAGTTCCATACCCAACAACACTGGTCTCTGCAGTCACCTGCACACACACAGACACAATTTTAAATAAGTTTTAAGTGAATGGGATGGGCTGGAAAGACGGTTAAGCATTTAAGAGCACTTGCTGCTCTTCTAGAGGACCTGAGTTAAGTCCTTAGTACCCACGATGGGTGGCTCACAACCATCCTCAACCTCCAAGGGTTCTGACACCCTCTTCTGGCCTCCATGGGCATCTGTACTCATGTGTGCATCATACATGCAACATTAAGAATACATTATTTAGCCGGGCAGTGGTGGTGCACGCCTTTAATCCCAGCACTTGGGAGGCAGAGGCAGGCAGATTTCTGAGTTCGAGGCCAGCCTGGTCTACAGAGTGAGTTCCAGGACAGCCGGAGATACACAGAGAAATCCTGTCTCAAAAAAAAAAAAAAAAAGAAAAGAAAAGAAATAAAGATACTTATTTTTAATTTGTGCATATGTGTATGTGCCACATTTGTGCAGGTGCCTTTGGAGGACAGGAAGGGATATTGGATCCCCTGAAACTGGAGTTAGAAGCAGCTGTGAGCGTCCTCACATGGTGCTGAGAACCAAATTTTATTCCTCTGTAAGCACTAGAAGTTACCCAGCCACCCGTGCAGCCCTGGAACAGGACATGTGATAGACCACTTTGGAAAACTTTAACTTAAACATTGTCTTAGTTAGGGTTTCATTGCTGGGAAGGGACACCATGACTAAGGCAATTCTTATAAAGGAAAACATTTAATTTGGGGTTGGCTTACAGGTTCAGAGGTTCGGTCCATTACCATCATGGAAAGATGCAAGGCAGACATGGTGCTGGAGGAGTTGAGAGTTCTACATCTTGATCCGAAGGCAGTCAGGTAGAGTCTGTCACACTGGGCATAGTTTGAGCTATATATGAGACCTCAAATCCCACCTCCACGGGAACACACTCCTCCGACAAGGCCACACCTCCTAATAGTGCCACTCCTATAGGCCAAGCAAAAAAAAAAAAAAAAAAAAGGTGAATCTATTGGGACCAAACCTGTTCACATCACCACAAGCATGTGATTACCCTTTTCCTCAAACCAGGCAGAAACACACACACAGGCACACACTAATGCACTGAAAATATACATAATATGAAACTTTAAAAGAAAACAGAAGGCTCTATCTAGGCTCACATATGGAGTAGGATGAACAGATTGAAGGAGTGTATTCCCACCATGGAATCCTGTTGCACAGTGGGGGAAGACGGAGTCTGAACAGCCACACAGCTGAACAAAGAAGCCTAGACACGCATAAGTGTGATTCTCTGTGAAGGATAAAAACCAGGCAAACCGCCCATGCACTCAGCAGCAGCTCACCGTTAACTAGAGCTGAGGCTTCCAGGGGCTATGTATCGGTTCCTGCAGCTGCTTGTGTATAGAGCTGGTGCTGAACACCCCAGTGTGTTCTGCCCTGAGTCTTTCTCCGCATGTATGGGACCCTTTGATAAAGAGGATTTTAAAGTTCACAACTTGTTACCAGCCGCTCACCCTGCTTCTCTGATGTCTAACAGTACACCGTGTATCAGAGTGGCGAGTGTTTATAGCCATTCAGGACCCTCTTCATGGTCACTTAGCTTTGGTGGTATCTGCTACGATGTTCTGCACCATGCCTTCGAAGCCTTACCACCGTGGCATATTTTGAATAAAATATTTGAAAAGGGCCAGTAAATCTTTCTTCATCTACATTTTTATATACAAAATGTGTTTGGTACTTCCAAACATGTCTGAATTCTTTCTTAATATAATATAGAATAGAAGCTAATGTGTATTCTTTTGTTTTCTATCAAATTGGGGGGCTTCATGGGTTAGGGGTTGTAACGGCCTGTTCTGCTGCTCCAGTCTGTGGATCAGGGCCTAGCAAGAGAGAGAGTGGGGATGGAGACTCGAAGAATGGAGACAAGACAGGGAGTCTGATCAGGTCTCGCCTCAGGTCTCGCC